AACAACACAGAGGGCTGGGGATGTGGCTCAAGCGGTAACGTGCTTGCCTGGCATGCCTGCGGCCCGGGTTCGATCCTCAGCACCACATACAAACAAAGATATTGTGTCTGCTGATAACTAAAAAATAAATATTAAAATTCTCTCTCTTAAAAAAAAAAACACAGAGCTGTGAATAACTCCAAATCATTATTTCTAAACCTTCTGACAATAAACACACATTTATACTCTATCTCCTGTTACTTAATCTCAATCCCCTTCCAACCATCTAATAAGACCCATCTAGGTAAGAGGAAGAAAATGCAGAAAACTCACAAGTAACTCAACTTTAATTATTTCTCTCAAATATATCACTACTTTTTTAGAGTTAGCATTAATTCTTATTCAATGACTTTCCAAGATCTTAAGACATAACATAAGAAGAGTCTCGGGCTGGAGATGTGGCTCAAGTGGTAGCACGCTTGCCTGGCATGCGTGAGGCCCGGGTTCGATCCTCAGCACCATATACAAACAAAGATGTTGTGTCCGCCGATACTAAAAAATATTTTAAAAACTTCTCTCTCTCTCTCTCTCTTTAAAAAAAAAAAGAAGAGTCTATATCTAAAATGAATAGCATCGAATTAGAAAAATATACCAACTCTAAAATTGGAAAATACAGCTAGGCCTGGTGACATACACCTGTAATCCCATAATACTCAGGAGGTTAAGGCAGGAAGATCACAAGTTCAAGGTCATTGTCMCAAAATAAAATAAAAAAGGCTTGCCTAGCATACATGAGGCCCTGAGTTCAATTACCAGCACTGAAAAAACTAATTAAAATAATTGCTTTTACAGTTGGGGATGGAAAATTTGTACCAAATAATCAGAAACTGTAAAGTAGTACAACTAAAGATGTGTTACAAAGTACTTTTCATTTAATGTTTTAAGATTTCTAGAATTAACAAAAATTAAATGTAGATTCCTTTTACTCTTGCCAATTTTAAGTATCACCAAGAATTAAAAATTATTTCTTTAGCCAGGTGCGGTGCCTTTAATCCCAGTGACTCAGGAGGCTGAGGCAGGAGGATTGCAAGTTCAAAGCCAGCCTCAGTAAATTAGCAAGACCCTGTCTCAATAAATAAATAAATTTTAAAAAAGGGCTGGGAATGTGACTCTGGGTTAAATCCCTGGCACACCCCACCCCACATCAAAAAAAACAAAGAATGGTTTCTTAGGCATGGTAATACACACCTATAATTCCAGCAATTTGGCAGGCTGAGGCAAGAGGACTGTAAGTTCAAGACCAGCCTCAGCAATTTAGCAAGGCCCTAGGCAATTTATCAAGAACCTGTCTCAAAATAAAAAATATAAAGCACTGAAGATGTAGCTGGGTAGTAAAGTCTCCCCTGAGTTCAAACCCCAATACCAGAAAATAAAAAATAAATAAATAAAAAGAACTGGAGATATAGCTCAGTGGCAAAGGATCCCTAGGTTCAACCTCCAACTTAAAAAAAAAAAAAAAGGAATGCTTTTTTGCCAGGTGCAGTGGCACATGCCTATAAACCTAGTGACTCAAAGGCTGGGGTAGGAAGATCACAAGGGCAAGGTTATCCTCTTCAATTTAGTGAGACTGCCTCAAAATAAATAAAGGACTGGGGATGTAGCTCAATGGTAAAACACCCAAGATTCAAGCCCTAGTATAAATAAATAAGAATGATTTCTTGGGCTGGGGTTTTGGCTCAGTGGTGGAGGACCCTTTGCTTAAAATGTCCAAGGCCCTGGGTTAGATTCTCAGCATCACATAAAAATAAATAAAATAAAGGTATTGTATCCAACTACAACTAAAAAGCACATATTTTAAAAGAAAAAGAAAAAAGAATGGTTCTTTGGCAATGTGACTGTTCCAGGAAGAAATAGAAGGAAAAAAAAATCAGGAAAGAATGCCTCTAGGAGCCCAAATAAGTGGGGGAAATCATTACTCTGAACTGCAAATTGAAGATTTTTAGTCATATAACAGAGCTTCCCTAACCTTGTAAGTGTACTAGAATATCGATCACCCACCACTGGTCACAGAGTTGCCTAGCCAGGTGCTTCTAGGCTTCAATAACCTCATCCACCTTAGTGTACTACTAAAAAAAAAAAAAAAATTCCTAAATGTGGCATAAACTGAAAGATTGAGAAGCACTGACAGACTACCTTAAAGTAGCTATAATTTCAATTCTAAAATATAAAATACATACTCTCCAGTAAAAAATTGTTTATCCTTACTTGATTTTATTGCATTGATCCTAAAGATTAATTTCATTTATCAAGTAATCAAATCCCACATTATATTTGTATAATATGGCATGTTTTTAAAAAAATAATTTTTAGTTGTCAATGGATCTTTTATTTATTTATATGTGGTGCTAAGGATGGAATCCAGGGCCTCACACATGCTAGGCAAGCACTCTACCACTGAGCCACAACTCCAGTCCCAATATGGCAAGTTTTAAAAATACAATTCCTCCAGCAGGGCATGGTGGTGCACACCTGTAATCCTAGCAACTTGGGAGGCTAATGCAGGATTGGAAATTCCAGGCCAGACTCAGCAATTTGCCAAGGCTCCAAGCAATTTAGTAAGACTGTGTCACAAAATAAAAAATAAAAAGAAGCCCTTGCAGCTTTATAAGTAACTTTTTCTTTACTTCTTCAGCAGCAGTAATATCCTAACGTAAAATTTTTAAAATTTACAGGCTGGGGATGTAGCTCCAAGGTAGAATGCTTGTCGAGCATGCTCGAGGCCCTGGATTCTAGCACCAGTTCTGGTGGAAAAAAGCTTTTTAAATAAGGGCAGCATTCTGTGTTATAGCAAACTTTTTCCCAACCAAAATCACTCAAATACTGACTTTCTAACTTCCTTCCATGATTCTTCTCCACAACACTATCACTTTCTAATTTACAATTAACTTAAATATTTTGTTCTGAGGTAGTACTTAAAGGCACAGGAAAATGCACTATTGCAATGTCGAATATTTTTTTCACTGCTTAAGTCACCATGTAAAAGTTAAGACTATCGGCATCTCTCTTAAAAACAAATCTGCCTTCCAAATACTTGAAATATAAATCTAACCAGGTAACCCTGTTCTCATATCAAATATAATCACAAAGCAGGTGTAGCGGCAATTGCTTATAATCCCAATACTCTAGAGGTTGAGGCAGGAGGATTACAAATTCCAGGTGAGTCCACCCTGGCTAATTTAGATCCTGCCTCAAAATACATTAAAAAGAGCTTGAGACAAACAAAGTTCAAGCAGTAGTGCATTTGCCAGGTTATGGGTTCAATCATCCCTAGGTATCTCACAAGTATATATTTAGATCTTAATTTTCAGTCTTAAATAATGTTTTTATCTTAATACAAATAATGTTCAGCAGGTCATAACAAATAATGTTTTAATCTCAATAYAGATAAAAATCTTAAAGCGGTAATACAGCCATCTACTACTGTTCAACTGGTGTTCCACAGTTCCTTTTTAGGCCTCAAATGACGAAACTTCTCTAACATCTCAGGGGAGGTTAGTGTGAAATATAATGTTTCCTGAAATTGTTCTTGTTTTTCTCTGCACCACTTCGTGACATCTCTTCAACTAGTAATGTTTTGCGCAATTTTATTGTTCTTCAGTAAAGGCCAAAGAGAAGCAAAGGTAAAGAGAATATCAAAGAATACGTAGAAATAGGACAGACAACATAAAAGCACAGAAGTAAATATGAAGCAAAAATTATATGTATTGAATAAAAGAGGAAGAAAATGAAGAAAAACACTTTTAGCATAGGGGGAAAATGGAGAGGACAGACACTTGCTTATTCTTCTAAAAACAAAAGCAAGAAAATCCTTTTAGTAAAAATGTATTCTCTTTCTTMAGAGGATGGTATTAAAACTCTAAACGGCATTCAGCTGACACTCCTAAGGAGAGTTGTACCTTCTCTTCTCACGTGCTTCAAATACCGCTAGTCTTATTTGTGAATTAAATGCAGAATAGATAATGCAGGAAAAATTACAACTGTGGTTGCCATCTTTGCCTGAAAAAACAAACTCCCTGGACTGGGGCGCGGGGGGGGGGGGACGCCGGGGGACAAATTAAGTTGGAAAGCCAGAAGACCAGTCAGGTAGACAACAAACGTCTTCCACCAAATTGAGGTTCCATTTAAAGGTGTGGGGAAGAAGGGCAAAGAGCTACTCCCTTACCGCGACCGCAAGGGTGGGGCATTGTGGGGAAAAAAAAAATCAGAGGGCGAGTTATCTCTAGAGGTTTAAGGGGGCTAGTGACCAACCTCCAGCGCTCGCACCTYAGGTGGCAAATGATGTACGTGGCCTAGGAGTTTATTCGGAAGGCGAGGGGGGGGAGGGCTGCTGCAGGATTGCTCACGAGTGCCGAGGCTAACAGAAGAAGGTACCMACCGGGCAAATGATTAAGAGTCAAAGGGAAGAGAAAGAAGGGGCCGAGCAGTTTGGGAGGACAGGTTTGGRAGGCTGGGCAGAGGCCGCTAAGCGCCTTCTCTGGGAACTCCTTTTCAAGCTCCCCCACACTCAACTCAGCCCCTCGGAGGGCCGCCCCTGCCCCGGCGACAACGGCGAGCGCAGCTGTTTCCGCCGGGCCGGGCACGGCGGAAGAAAAGGCATCCCTGGAGCTGACAGAAAGGCCAGCAGCGGCACTCTAGGAGTGCAGGGCGGCGATTCCAAGACCACCATCGCGGAGCCAACACCAAACTTCGCCCTTTCTTCCTCCTAAGCCTTCTTTATCCCCCAACTTCCCTGCCGGCTGGTGTCCGCTTCGACCGACCGAAACACCGCCCCCCCCCCCCGCGCCCTTCCTCTCGCCGCCTCTCACCCCTCCACGACGCCCTGAAGCTAGGAGAAGACCAGTCATTTGGACGGCTCCGGAGCCCGCCCTTGGGTCCCGAAGTCTCAGACGCCGCCCCCGCCCGAACGCTCACACCCTTTCGGCAGCTCCCTCACCCGCCCAGATGCAGCAAACTCTTCTCACCTGCATTGACGCCATGATGGAACCATCCCCCAAAGGCCAGCGAGGCCAGAGACGCAGGGGGCGGAGCTGCCGTGCTCGCGTCACGCCGCGGGGGCCTAACATCCCGGGCGCGGGGGGGCGGGGCCTCTGATGGGAAGGGGATGGCGCAAGGGGATTGGCTGACGTGCAAGGGCGCCCGGGGGAGGGGCAGGGGCGCGGCAAAGGCGCTGTGGGTACCCCGGATCCCAGCCCGCCCCTGGCCCACCCGCTACCCTAGTGAGTTAAGAGTCGCCGCTCCACTTTTGACCCGAACACAGTTAGTTTTTTTGTCTGTACTGCGAGATCCTGATGCGTCTGGATCCATGCGGTTTATTTCTGTTTCATTTTGTTCTTCCAACTGTAAGGTGTGTTTTTCACACCAAGCCCACTTTGATAGTTTTATCCCTCGGGACCAGAAAAAACTTCCGGGGCTTCTTTCTCTTCCACGCGGACTTGGAAACCTCATATTCTTTATTTGGGGAAGAGAGACCCACTTTTCCTTGTACAACGGGATGATAATTGAGAGCAGAACGACACTGGTATTTTAAAGGCGTGGGCTTTTAGATTTGTAGAGCTGAAACTTGTCTGAAAAGAGAGATTTTTAAAGTTTTTCTTTGATTTTTGATTTCCGCTCCCTTATGCCAACGAAACTTCATGTGTATCGTAAATAGGTGTTAATGGCATTCGAAATTTAATAGAGATTTTACTCCAGGCATGGTTTTTTTAAAAAAAAATATACCAGCTTCACGTTATAATATACACATATCTTTTATCATATCCAGGTGTCTTCAGCCTTTTTCGTGGTGGGCAGTTTGGTGGTGGAAAGTTTGGTGGCCCACCACAAACTACAGATGAATTTGGGTAGGAAAAGCTGAGCATAGAGAATCCTAAGAATGCACCAGTTCTGCCCACATTTATCAAAAGCCACATTTTTAAAAGCTCTTCCAGGACTGAAGATGTCATTGGTTTATAAAAGGAAGGTGGAAACCAAAATCTTGCACCTCATGTTCTATCTCTTTAAAAAAAAAAAAAAATCAAGGTGGCTAACACACTGGGTAGAAGCTTTTACTTTACCAGAAGGAAAGCTTAAAATCTGTCATATCTGCATATCTGTCATTTTATTCATTTGGCTTTCTTTTTAGACATTTCTCTAAGATATAAATATAGGCAATGTAGGATATCATTCTTCACACTCTTAAGATAGATCATTATGTTCTCTGGGAACATCCATAATGTGAAATGTGTTCAAAATGGAAAAAGATCTTTAAAATATGCCAGTTATTCCATGGTATAATATTAGACACACTGTTCTTCCTCACTGGAGAAGTTATATTGGTATACTCTTCCTCTCTGAACTGCAGTCTTTGCCAGAAATGAACTGATTTCCCCCTTTTTGTACACAATGACTGTCCTTGAGGAAATTTGAATGCTTTTGGCAACCAGAAATCAACCAGAAGCATACCAAATGTTAGTCCAGTTGTGTTGTCAACATTACAACAGTGAGTAAAACCCATATATCCCAATGAAAGAGGTAAGATTAGGAAAAAGTTTCTAGATATTTTTTTTTCTTTTAAGGATCCTCATCCCTATGAACTCAGAAAATTGTTCCAGAAGATCAAGCTTACCATCCTAAGAGTCACTTAGCTTAAAAGTTGATTCTACCTAAAGGAGTAAGTGACACCAGATGATCCCACAAACAAAGCATTATGGCATCATCAGAGCAAATAGCCTGCCAAGACAGATGCTAAGAAGAAAGAAAAGTGGTTGCAGGAATTCTGACATTGCTCACAGTAAAACTAATGTTTGGTCCCTTGGGTTTCATATATATTGAAAGGATCTTTATAGGAGGAAAAAGTCAATTATCAGTCATGAATGAAATACTAAACAGCACAAAATTACCTACATTTTTCACTCTTTCTTAAAATATAATAGAGGGGTGGGAATGTAGTCCAATAGTAAAGCACATTCCTAGCATATTCAAGGTCCTGGGCTTGAGCCTCAGCTCCAAAACAAAAATATATAATAGATCCTAGCATACTTGGGAACTAAAATAGTAACTTTTGGATAGTGTAGAGGTATATTATTATGTTAACTAAGCATGAACTGTTATATCTGAAACAGTTGCAAGCTGTAGTGGCACATGCCTTTAATCCAAGGCTGGGGAGGCTGAGGCAGGAGGATTACAAATTCATGACCAGCCTCAGCAACTTAGTGAAACCTTGTCTCAAAATTAAAAATAAAAAGGTCTGGGGATGTAGCTTAGTGGCAAAACACCCCAGGTTCAATCCCCGGTTCCCAAATAAATAAATCACTTGAGCGGGCAACATGAAGACTAGGTTCACATCACATTTCTTTACAGAGTGGGCTTGTGATCAAATAGGCAAATGTTAAAATGTCAGACAATTTCAGAAGTGGAAGAGAAAGTGAATTTCTCACAAACTGTATAGGAGTCACATCGATAGAAATCACTTTGAAAACAGTTCAACAATAATGAGGTTAAAGTTTTCCATATCTTTACAGAATAATCTTAACAGCATCATTTGTGGTAAAAGATTCTTAAATATTAAATGCAATAGGTTAAGTTCTTTTGGATTCTGTTTCAAACTGTAAAAAAGATATTTTTGAGACAACTGGAGAAAAGGAAACAGAATGGATCTTAAATGATACTAATGAATTGTTATGTTATTTTTGATAATGGTATTTTTTGAAATTTCCACAGTAAGACAAGCAGGTTGAGATGAGGCAATTCTTCCTCATTTTACCAAATGCCCCAACTTCCATTTCTAGTAAGAAGTAAAATCAGGACATATATAAGCTGTGTATGTGTCTGAGGAAAGGCCTGAGACATGGAAGACAAAATTAGCCACTGGACTTGATAGTCAAAAGGAGGAAATATGGGAAACTAAGAACACTGAAGGATCCACAGAAGGACCACTGGAAATAAATCCTACTCCATTCACTTCCAAAAAGAAAGAAAGAAACGAACGAACAAATACTGGAGCTGGGTGTGGTAGCACATGCTTAAGATACCAGCTACTTGGGAGGATGAAGCACAAGGATCACAAATTTCAAGCCAGCCTCAGCAATTTAGCGAGACCCTACCTCAAAATAAAAAATAAAAAGGATTAGGGATGTAGCTCAGTGCTAAAGCACTCTCGGGTTCAATCCCCAGTACTGAAAAAACAAAAAGTAAACAAACAAAAACCAATGGGCCATGGGGCAATTGCTGCAATATTGATAATGTAATTTGATTAGTGGATGCTTTTGTTCTAGTGATTCACTAGATTGGAAAGTTAGGAGCAGTTCTCTGAGGATTTCCTTGTAGGAATAGCCCAACTACTCARGAGACTGAGGCAAGAGGATTACAAGTTTGAAGCCAGCCCAGGTCTCAAAATAAAAATAAAACAAGGAGGGCTGGGGATGTAGCTCAGTAGTAGAGCACTTGCCAAGCATGTGTGAGGTGTGAGGTCCTGGGTCTCAACACACACACACACACACACACACACACACACACACACACACACAGAGTCCCTTGCTTGAGTCTGTATCTCTATAGAGTAGTTTGTTTCTCGTGGCTGATCTCACTAGAGAAATGAAGGCAGTTCAGCAACCAATAACTTGATTATTGGATGTTTGAAAAGGCACTAAATAAATATTTTGAAGTTTATATTCTTACCCTATTTCTGTTGTTAGCAAGCTTGAGCAAGGATCCTAATCTCTCTGGGTTTATTTCCTTATCAAAATTTTGCAAGCCAGACTGCATGAACTTTTCAATTTCATCCAGATTGCAAATTCTATTCATCTAGTAAAAGAAATTAAACATTATAATGAGTTGTCAAAATGTAATGTTAAAAGTCTAAGATAAAAATGCAATAGGAATTTTGTTCTATTTTAAGTTTAAAAATCACTTTTCTAAATATATTAAGGAAATAACTTGGCTTTATTGTAATTTATGCAGAAATACTTAGGGCTTTAGCTAATTTTTCATTCTTATGTCRTCTAGTTAAAGTATATGCAGGATTTCATTTCATGAAATAGCAAAAACCCCATAATCACAATTTAGAGAGATACTTTTAAAAAAGCATATTTACAAAGCAAAATGCATTATTGTAAAAAAAAAATTTTGAACTCTACCCAGTCATTTCACATGACTCTCCTAATAAAGGACAGAGAAAATTAATAAAATAACAATGATTTGCATAGGTGGCTTATTTTGTGGGACTGGTTTGTAGACAAAATTGTGAATTAGGAAAACTTTTACAGATGTTCCCAATAAAACCATCATGAATTTTTAGAAATATCATAAGTTGAAAATACATCTAATATACTAACCTAATAAATATTAGAACTTAGCCAATTCCACCTTAAATGTTCTCAGAACACTTACATTAGCCCATAATTGGTCAAAATCACCTAACACAAATTCTATTTCATAATAAAGTATTGAMTATCTCATTTATTTGACACTGCACTGAAAGTTGAAAAAAACAATGGTTGTGTAAGTATAGGAGGCACAGACAGGTATATTGTGAAAATAATGGGATGCAAAAGCACAAAACACAAAATCCAAAAATGCTAACAAGGCAAAATATGTCTCAAAAAATTAAGGAGGGTTGGGGTTGTGGCTCAGTGGTAGAGCGCTTGCCTAGCATGAGTGAGGCACTGGGTTCAATTCCTAGCACCATATATAAATAAATAAATAAAAATAAAGGTCCTCGGGCTGGGGATGTGGCTCAAGCGGTAGCGTGCTCATCTGGCATGCGTGTGGCCCGGGTTCGATCCTCAGCACCACATACAAACAAAGATGTTGTGTCCGCCGAAAACTAAAAAATAAATATTAAAAAATTCTCTCTCTCTCTCTCTCTTTCTCTCTCTCTCTCTCTCTCTCTCTCTCTCTTTAAAAAACTAAAAAATAAATAAAAGTCCTCAACAACTAAAAAAAAAAAATAGGAGGATGGTGGGTTCAAAGCCAGCCTCAGCAATGGCAAGGCACTAAGCAACTCAGTAAGACCCTGTCTCTAAATCAAATACAAAATAGGGCTGGGGATGTGGCTCAGTGGTTGAGTGCTCCTCAGTTCAATCCC